TTGCGCAGGTCTCAGTTGTTTTGCTGCCTTCAAGGCTAGACAAAATAGTCAAATATTTATCCAAAATATGAAAGGATATTTCCTGGACGCCAAACATGCAGTTCACTGACTATTCACTGCCACACAGGATGTTTAATAAGATTTCTTAAACAGTAAAGTGGAGAATTTCAGGAGATGCTTGACGTTACGGAAGTCTGATCCAGTTCCATGCAAACAGCGCCATGAAAACTCTCCAATACAATCTAGGTGTTAAATTTAGAAAGGACAATAGAAAAGATCTTTCAAAAAGTATATTAAGCTAATCTTTTAGTTCTGGAATGCTGAATTGAGGAAGAAGGGAAATAATTAAAATGTTTTGTCATCTGAATCTTTCATTTTATTAATAACGTTAATATAGCAATGCTAATATTGGCTGGCTCTCACCCACGTGTGGTTCAGCTTTGGGTTTGGCATCCAGGTCACTTGGACACGTGGCATAAAGAATGTGTCAGGTGCAGCCTGGCTCATAAATATTGCTTCTGCCATTTGGGCAAGTCCATTAAGCTCAATTTTATCTTGGCACTGCAAATCCAGCACTCCTGAAGTGTGGGGTGGTTCTGTGAGTGCCCATCCTTCATTAGAGCCATCATCAGGAAGTGAAGCCAGGGTGCTCTGGTGCCCTGGTGGTGGCCAGGCCCTGCCTGGAGCCAAGATCAGAGTCAGTCTGGAGCCCACCTGCAGCCTGGTCACAATTGGTTTTTTTTCTACCAAAAAATTATAAAATTACTGCTGAGCAAACATTAAATTTCATTTAATCAATATTTATATGATAAATGGTCCTTCATTTTTCAAGGCTGGATTGGATGGGGCTTGGAGCAACCTGGTCTAGTGGCAGGTGTCCCTGCCCATGGCAGGGGGGTAGAATGAGATGGTCTTTAAGGTCCCTCCCAACCCAAACCATCCCATGGCTGTGTGATTTTCTTCAATGAGGAAAACATCCACAATGAGTGGAGAGGTTTTTTTCAATTACTGCAAACTAAGCAGAGATGTCCATGTTTCTTTCTTTCTTACTTATTTTCTTACTTCAGACCTTACCAAAGGTGATTAGAATTTCTACAACTTTTGTAAAGGAGAACAATCGTTTCAGTCATTATTTTCCTGGAATTGTGTGTTCTTCATGGCAGCTTTTTTCCTATCCAAAATTCAAAGTATTTTTTAAAACCAGCTTTTGCTTTTACATGAGAACAAACCTCAAGCCCTGCCAGCAGTCACAGCCCTCATTTTATTAAAGAGATTTTCACTTTGTGATGAGGAGGTCTGCTAATGATGGGATCTCCATGCCTAATGGAAGGCTCTTTCCAGAATTAACATTGATTGACTTCCTGGCTGGAGTCTACAGACGGAAATTTGCTCCCCACATCCTCGCAGGCAGCCAGGGGCGATGCTCTGAGGAGCTGTCCTTGGCTGACTTGGGAGCCCCTCGCAGGCAACGCTGCGCCCCAAGGGAGGAAGAGCAGCAGAGGAATGACAGGGGAGCAGAGGAATGACGGCGCACGAGGATCTCCCGTGGGCATTTCAGGAACAGCAGCGCAGGTCTGACCAGGAAAAATTACTTTAAGTAACAAATGAGCAGAAGAGCCTCCCCCAGGCAAAGGTGTTGCTCCCACGTAATGAGCTTTGTAAAATATAGAAAGGAAGAGATTATAGTTCAGGTTTCCGTCAGCGTCCTGGGCTGTGTGACAGAGAGTGGGGTGGTGACAGAGGATGGACATGCTGGAGTTATTCCCAAGAGTGCTCTACAGCAGAATTATCAGACTCAACAGGGCAATGGAAATGAGAAAGACTGAATTTCCCTGGAAATCCTTTGGGAGTCTCAGGATACTTTTTAAGGCTTAAGACTGTTTCTTAGTCTAATGCAGGTGTTTAACGTGTCCCCAGGAAGGAGATCCAGCATTTCGCGTTACTACAAATACTCCCGGAATCACCAGCTGTTTTCACATCCAAGAGGGCTTCCTTGGGGACCCAATGACTCAGACATGGCACCAAACCCCAAGTCCCTGCTGGTGCCCAGGCACAGGAGGGCCAGGAGAGGAGCTGGAGCCAGGCTCTGCCAGCCTGGCCAGGGAGAGGCTCATCCAGAGGCAGCCGGAGCTTCTCTCTTCTCACTGTCAGCTGAATTTCCATGTTACACCTATGGAAAATCCTGGTGTTCTCAATTTACAAAGTATTTACAAAGTATTTGCTTATCTGGCTGATGATGCACCTGTCATGCCACTTTCTGCCAGCTTGTTATTGGCTCTACTGATGCTGATCTCCATCTTGCTGCTGACACCAGGTGCTCCAGGGTCTGATCCCAGCTTTGCAAGTCACTCCAGGCAAATTGTTCAGCTCTTCCAAGTCTCAATTTCATGCTTTGTAGGATGGACACAACAATAACAACTATCCTCCTCCTCGAGGGCATTGTAAAAACAACTGTCTGAGGAGCACATGGGGCTTTAGAGATTGGAAAGACAACACTTAATTCAGTATTATTCATTGTCAATGTTCTTGCTATTTTATATTATTCTTGACACAGGCACATCTCATAGATTTCTCCTTGTGTCTCCATCATGAAACACCTTTCAAGGACATTCATAGTTTCCATTTTTCATTTTGTTGTCCATAAAGTTTCACCATCATTCACTGAGGACTTGCCTCTGTAATTCCCAGCTGAATCCTAACAAGGCTTTTCTTCTTGTGCTTGCAGCAAATCTGAAAAAAAACCACAAAACCAATGTTTGTCCACCTCTTAGAGAGACAATTTGTCCATGTTTCACAGCCACAAATGCATGTAGCAAAGAGTAAATAACAAGCAATATATTACCTTACAGTTCTGTGGTATTTTCCTTCTTCAGAGCACTGTAATGTCACACACATATCATTTGTGCTGAGCTTGGACTTTGCTCTTGCCTGTGATAACAGGGTTACACTGAGCTGTATGCAGAATTAAAGCCTTTTTCATTGATGCAAATATATGTTGATTAATATCCCCTGATAAAATCCTCCCAGGGGAACTGAATCCACTGATTACAAACCAGGTTCTTCCATCAGCTCTCCCGGCTGTTCTCCCACCTCTCCTTAGGATTTCATCTCAGGCTGTTCCTGCTGACAGATGTAAATATCTCAGAGATGGCTGAGTGTTCTGCTGGATCAATCTCTCCCCTGTGCCCTTTTGGCTGCAGAAGGGGCCATGTCCCTCTGTGCTGCCAGCAGAGCCAATTACTCTTAAACTGATGTCTTCTTTTCACCTCCTACTTATATTTAATCAGTTATATTTGTGGTTTGCAGAAAGCTTTTCTCTATTCATACACTTGGGGAATTTTGCAGATGGTTCAAGACTTAAAAAGCCATTTGCAACTAAAGCATAACAACTCTCTTCTGATGACAAAAAGAAAAAAAAAATGAAACAAAAAACAAACAAAAGAAAACAAAACAAAAACCACCACAACCAAAAAAGCACATGAGCAGTTGGCTCAGGATTTCCAGCCTGCAGCTTTGCCCACTGCCATAGAGTCTGAGACAGCTTGAGACTCAGGTGCATTTTTTCTTGCTCTGGTTTTCATTTTTGAGATAGCTCTGGTTTGCTTGGCCTGGAAGACTTTCTCCAGGGAAGGTCTGTCATTCCAGCAAAGGGAGAAGCACAATGCAGCCCATGAACTCTTTGCTCTGATGTGTCTCATTTCCTGCCCTTTTCTGTAATTGCCGAACGATGATACAGAGTGATAATATCTCACACTCCCTTCTCTGGAAAGACCTGGCGGGTTCCCCACATTTTTGATCTCCTTTCCTCTCCTTTGCCTGTTCTGTCATGCCCAGTGTGACCTCATGAGCTCTTTCCAAAGCTGCTGGGGCCAGGGAGCACCCTGGGGAGCATTCAGTGGGATGAGGGACAGTAATGCCGTGGGGAGACTGAGGGGAATGAATGAACCACTGATCACCCAAAGGAGGAGCTTTTGCTGCCTCAGCTGCAGGAGCCTCTTGTCCATTGTTATTAGGGAAGCTGATTTAATGCAAACTGTTCCCTCTCCCTTTGGTCTGAGCCCCAGATTTGTCTCCTTGAGGTGTGGGATGAACATAAGTCGATGCTCAGGGCTCCCAGCTACCGCGGACTGGAAAGCATGAGGTTGGCTCAGAGCGATTCCATCACGCATTTGGCTCTAACACAATTTCCTCTCCTCTCTGGCCCTCTCTTGGTCGCTTTCCAGCAGGCAAATGGGCACAGGCACAGCCAGAACCTGCTGCTGCCCAACTGCGTCACTAATCCTGAGCGGCAGCTCAGCCTCAGGCGTCGTTTCTACCTCGCATGTTTCAGGAAGGGTTTTAGCAGTGATCTGCTACACACGACAGTGATAAAATTATTGCTACTCATCCCTGCACAGATTAAGCAATGGTTACTTTAGTTCCTCTTAAGTGCAGCCCTGGGGCAGCATGAACAGCCCTGTAAAAAGTTTTTGTGTCTGATAGTATGATTTAAAGACAAAAGAGACAGCAGGCCTGTGGGGATGAGGTTTGCCAACCGAGTGGACACCAGGCTCACATCTCAGAGAGAACACCTGACAGCAGCAGTCTTGCTGAAGCCATCTAAGTTCAGCTTACAGGAGAAAGTGACTTTTTATGATCCCAAGAGTTAGAGAACTGAGCTTTATTTTGTTGGCTTTAATTATCAGGCACGTGGCACATTGACCTCAAACCTCATCTTTCCATAATTGCCTTAATTTTGTATCATTTACACAGTTTATGTCTTGGCTAGTCCCATGTATTTACAAGCACTCAGTTTATTAGAAAAAGCTGTCTCAAATTATGTTTGTCACAGGCAGAACCCCTATCCCTCCAGGTGGAACATGTCCCTCCATTCTCCTCCTCTCACTGACTTCTTGTGGTTTCTTAGAACCTTCCCTGGCATGAACACAGAACCCAGAGGCTTTGAGGGATCGCATGACAGTGACAGACAAGTCTGCAGTTGCACAAGCAAGGAGAAAAAGCTTTATTAAGTGTGTCCAGAGACACCTGCACGGAATGAAGGCAACACAGAAGAGCAGGTGAGGGGACACAACCCGACCACACGTGGCCCTCAGGCACTTCTTGGCTCAATTCCCTGCTCTCCTGAGCCAGGGGCTGTCCTAGCGAGTGGTGAGTGCAACCTGCTCCCGGGAGGAGACCACCTTCCCATCCTGCACCTCCTCAACGATCGTGCGCACCTGACGGGATGATGTTGTGACTGCAGAGGAAAGGAGGACAATTATTCATGGCTGGAAGGAGAGAAATTTTTAAAAACACTATCAGATATTGCACGTTCTTCAAGACCTGGTGGAAATTCCACAGGGAAGTAGAAAATGCTACTTTAAACAACCCAGCTTTGACTGGGAAGGGGAAAGAACCAGGCTGAGGGGAAAGGTGGGTTCTTACCATCTCTGCCAGAGTGTGAGGACATGGCGGAGGAGTACTGGGAGGAGATGCTACAAGAGAAGCACAAAACCAAACAGATGTTAGGGACAAACACTGATTGTTGCTACTACACAGGCTCTGTGTTCAGGCAGAAGAAAAACAGAGAAGGCTCATGGCAATAAGTGTTGCTCCACTTGGCCTCTCCTGAGGGATGGAGGAACCACAGCCCTTTGCAGCAAGGAAAGGGACCCAGTGCAGCATTCCACTACAGCCAGGGACAGAGCTCTGGGCACCCACAGCTGGTGTGAACAAAGCTAAGACCGGGCTGAGGCCTTAGGCATTCTGTGTCTATGTCCTGTCTCATCCCACCCTCCCTCCCAGCCAAGCCCCTCACGCACTGGGCATCCTCGCCCTCCAGGAGCCGGCGGTACGTGGCGATCTCCTGCTCCAGGCGGCACTTGACGTCCAGCAGGACCCTGTACTCGTGGTTCTGGCGCTCCATGTCGCAGCGCAGCTCGGCCAGCTGCTCCTCCACGCCGGTGATCAGCATCTGCAGCTGGGCCAGCTGGGTGCCGTAGCGCGCCTCGGTGTCGGCCAGGGTGCCCTCCAGAGCCGCTTTCTGTGGGACGGGCACGGGCCGGGCTCAGGGGGGCGGCCGGGGGGGCACAGCCCCGCACCCCCCGCCCCACCACCAGCCCGGCCCTCGTACCGTGCTGAGCTGCGACTGCAGGTCGATCTCCAGGCTCTGGATCGTGCGCCGCAGCTCCGTGATCTCCGTCTTGCCGCTCTGCAGCTGCTCCGTGTTGATGGCCACCTCCCGGTTCAGCTCTTCCGTCTGCAGCCAGGCAAAGCCGTGTCCTCAGAGCCCCGGCAGCGGCCCCGGCCCCGTGCCCGCTGCTCGCCGCCGGCTCCTCACCTTGCTGAAGAACCACTGCTCGGCGTCCCTGCGGTTCTTCTCCGCCAGGCTCTCGTACTGCTCCCGCATCTCCGCCAGGATCTTGGTGAGGTCGATGCCAGGAGCAGCGTCCATCTCCACGCTGATCTCCCCACCCACCTGCCCGCGCAGGGCAGTCATTTCCTGACACAAAAAGAGAAACACCACACGTCACAGTGACATGGCATCTTCCCATCGTGAGACATTTATTTGCACCCAGCGCAGGAACCCCACAGACCTCCTGGAGGTCCTGCCTGAAGGGATTATTTCTCTCCCCCTTCCTGCTCGAGTGTCTCCTGACAGCCCTAACTGCAGAGACTCCTGCGCGTTTGGCCCATTTCCCTGTTGTGCAATGAATGTCTGCAGGTCACAATTTGAGCCCAACTCTGTGCTCACCTCCTCATGGTTCTTCTTCAGATAAGCCAGCTCCTCCTTCAGATTCTCAATCTGCAGCTCCAGGTCGGATCTGGACAGGGTCAGCTCATCCAGGACCCGGCGCAGGCCGTTGATGTCGGCCTCCACGCTCATGCGCAGAGCCTGCTCCGACTCAAACCTGGGGACACACACACAGCTGAATACACCCACCTGATACAGCATTTTTCTTGTCTGTTCCTTCCCCAGATCAGTGTATTTTTGCCAAGTGTGTGCACAGTTCTCACAGTGCAGAAATATCAGTGCTGTGCCCAGGAAGAGTTGAACTATTCCCAAATGTTCCACTCCAGTGGAGCAACCCCAGGTGCAGAAAAAAAGCACCTTGAACAGCCAGGCTTTCCCCCCTTTTTCACAAAAGCTCTTGGAGGCATTGGACTCACTTGGTTCGGAAGTCATCTGCTGCCAGCCTGGCATTGTCGATCTGCAGGACGATGTTGGCATTTTCAACAGTTGCAGAAAGAATCTAATGAGGGATAAGTGAAAGAGTTAAAAAGTCGTTTCAAACACTCTGAGTAATCCCATCCAGAGGACTGGAGCAGCACTGGGTCTCCTGCCCATGGAGGGAGACAAGGTGGGGTGCTCATTTCCACCTCCCATCAGCACAGACCCCTGGGAACACTGCCCTGGGTGCATGGGCCTGCCCAGGTGGCACCTCCAGGTGCTCACACCATGCTGAGCCCTGGAAACACTCCAGGCTTAGGGAATGGGAGCAGCCCAGCTAAGAAGGAAAAACAAGGAAGGAAGGAGTGCCTTGTGCCTGCCTCATTTGGCTTTCATAATTACACCTGAGGTGCAAGTATTTGCTCGGAGATTATGAAAATGATTGGCCATTTAGTGAGCAGGAATTTCTGTAGCCACGAGCTAATGAGGAGCTCTGAGTTCTCCTGCTTCAGGGGATATCCAAGGAATAATCCAGGAATATTGATGTGGTCATTTCCCAGCTGAGGGGTGAGGAGGGAAGGATCTGCCTTCCCCTGGATCAGGAGCAGAAGGTTTCTGTGAGACCCAGCACTTCATCACTCAAATCCAGAGACAGCTCCTGCCACCAGATGTTTCTGTGCTCTATCAGAGCACACCACATGCTGGAATCAGCAGAGGAGCTTCCTGCATCAAGACAAGCCCTTTTCCCCAGGGTGAAGCTCAAGAAATTTTAGGAATGCGAGTTCCCCCCAGGGGCTGACCCTGCCCCGTTTCCCAGGAATTTACACTCCCAGAGCAGGTAAGGCATTGCCCAACCACCCACACCTCATTCCCTCAGTGAACCTGAGCTCATTCAGGATGAGTGATGAGGGTGAGGGGGAGCAAGCAATGGCAGGGCAGGAGGGATGGACAGATTCTGGTGTTTTGTCAAAGGACTTTTGTTTAAAATCATCCAGGGAGCTTCTAAGAATAAAGAAATTACCTTGGCCATGATTTCATCTGCTACATTTTAGAGCAGGGTACACACCTACTACAGCCCAGTGTGTTCCAGTCCTGGATTGGACTCATGTCAGTGTCTGCAACTCCTAAAGAAAATCCATCCCATAGGACACTTTCTATTTTAACCTCTGCCTTTAGCCTCCTTGAAGGGTAGGGATAAAAATCTGATTTGTAGGATATTTTGAGAATGACTATTCATCTCCATCTGCATATCACTCAGCAGTGAAGAGGGCCAGGAGATAACAAGTCCCTGCCTGCTGAGAGCTCCATCAGGAGCATAACAGGGAGCAACTATGGGGCACAGGTAGTAAGAAGGAAGGCAGAAGGTGACAGTGGGGCAGCAAGTAGCATCAGGTAACCTGAATCACTGTCTGACTCCTTTCCTGTCCCATCTTCCTTCCTACACTGGAACAGTCAACAGAAACTCCATTCTGGTCCCTGGTGTTCTGTTGTTCATAGTGACTGTTATTCCAAAGATCTGGTTTTCATTTCAGACTAATTACCTGTTATTTGATAAGTCTCTTCCCTCCAGCTGTTAGGAACAAGGTCATCTCTTTACAAGTGGCTTTGATGAAGATGTCACATTAATCCCAGCATCCTACCTTGTTCCTGAGCTCCTCGATAGTCCTGTAGTAGGGGCTGTAGTCACGGTCAGGACCAGGTCCCTGCTTCTTGTACCACTCCCTGATCTTCACCTCCAGGTCGGTGTTGGCCTCCTCCAGGGCTCGCACCTTGTCCAGGTAGGTGGCCAGGCGGTCGTTGAGGTTCTGCATGGTCTCCTTCTCCCCGGCCGGCAGGATGCCATCACCGCCTCCAAAGCCTCCTCCAAAGCCTCCTCCAAAGCCGGTCCCAAAGCCGGCCCCATAGCTGCCCCCAAAGCCCCCGCCGAGGGTCCCTCCTGCGCTGCTGCAGTAGCTGCCCCCAAAGCCGCTGCCGAAGCCCGAGACCATGCGGGAGGAGACGGAGTAGCTGCCAGAGCCCCCGTGCACGCTGGGGGCCCTGTAGCCTCCTCCCCCAACACGCACGGAGGAGAGCCTGCTGGAGCCCCCCCCCAGGCCGCCGGAGCCCTTGAGGGAGGTGGAGGAGGAGTATTGCCTGACAGTGGTGCTCATGCTGGAGCTGCAATGGAGAGAGGCGGCTCGGCAGTGCAGCAGCAGCAGCAGCAGCAGCAGCAGCAGTGAGTGCTCGCTCCCCTGCCTCGGGGCCCTTTATAGCCCGGCCAGGAGGCGTTGCCACACCACTTTTTTTTTTTTTTTTTTTTTGCATTCCCGACAATTTTCATCACTCATAAAATCTGAGCCAACTTCCAGAATCGTCATTTTTGCCTTTGTTCTATTCATGCTTTTTGTCATATTCCACTATAAGATTTTTCTCTTACAAAGGATGTCTTTATGCTTCTTCCGTTTCCAAGTAAATTGTCAGGTGTGATTAAAAGGAGGAGGCTCCTTGCTCAGGGCTATGATTTAATTCCCTCTGCACTGTGAGCTTTGAAACAGAGCGGTGCAGGCAGCATTTGACGGAGTAGCTCAGCATCTATTTTACTGTGGCTTTTTGTCCCAGCTGCAGTTTCCTGTCCCTGCTTGGGCTGCACACACACCTGCAGGACAGCAGCCGTGTTGTGAAGCCCTGAATGGTCCTCCAAAGCCTCCTGAGTCCAATGGTGCTGGAAGGAACTTGGCTCCCAATCCTGGAAGTACAAGTCCGCTCTTTTATCTGCAGGGAGGGGGATGAACAGTAGTGAAAAAGCAATGAAAAGGGAATTTGTGCTCCAGGGCTCACTGGAGATTTCACTTCAGAGACCACCCAAGAGTGGGGGACTGTGGGAAGGTAATAGGATGGTTTGTGTTCTTTGAGAACGAGCACTAGCCAACCATCCCAAAAGGACAGGGTATGGTGGCTAGCTAGAAGTTATGAGATCTCCAGGAAAAATGTGGGATAGCATAAAGTAGATGAAGGACATAAGGGAAATGCTCCTGGTGTGTAAGCCCTGTGAACAGGAACACAAAGCTGGGAGCTCAGCAGCTGATGCCAGCGATGTTTTCTGTGGTGGACAATTCTGAAAGTTGTGACCAGGCAGGACAGCTCCACTGTGAGTTGAGCTTACGGCTCCCACAGAAACGGAGCTTCAGGAGAGACAGTGACTGTCTCTGGCAAGCAAAAAGGCTCCAGAACTGAGTGCAGTGGTGTGGTCAGGCCCTGCTGTCGCCTCTCTGTGCTGACCTGCAGCACGAGCAGAATCCAGCAGTCTGAGTGTCCCTGGCTCATCGTGCAGGGTGTGGAGGGGAGGGGATTGCTCATGTGTGCACACGGTGGATTGTTGGGCTGTCTCTGCAGACAGGCCCCAACAGCCCCTTCCCAACAGCCAAGTTCTTCCTTAGATCATTTGCCAAAGGAGGGGAGAAAGGGGATGGAAGGAAGAACAAAGGTACATTGCTGAGGAGCTCAAAGGGCACAACTCCCTCCCCTCCATCTGCAAAAAGCTGGAGACAGTACAGGACTGGATGTGTCCTTGGAATATCAGGAGCTGGCTGCTATGGAGAAGTGGTTCCCTATGTTCCCATTTGCCACAGGTGAATGGAGACAAGTCTGTGCAGTTTGGAGATCTGGAGGCTGGGAGTCTCGGCCGTGCTGGCTCTGGCCATTTCTGACTCTTGGAGTCAGCGTGTTCGTGTCGTGTGAGCGCCGGGCACGGGGCCAGGGGCCGCCCACTCGCTGCTCACCCTCCCCAGGTGCAGATGGAAAAGGTGCAGCAGCGCGGGGGCGGCCGGGACGTGTCGCTCCCAGGAATGTGCTTCGTCCCCATCTTCATTTCCTCACCTTTGCCCGGGCAATGCCGTGGTTTGTCCTCTCTGATTGCAGCGGTGATGTGGGGAACGGGGAATGTCAGAGCCAAAGCTGGTACAGAGCCCTTGTGTGAGTCCAAACGCTCAGCTCTGCCCTGAGCAAAGCCCCTCGGAGTGGTGCAGGTGTCACACTGTCACAGTCATGTCACACACAGGTGATTCACAGTTCTTCCTGGATGGGGAATTGCCTTTTCTTTCATCTTTTGTTTGCCATTGAACTGCTATGTCATAAAAACACACATTGCCCAGAATATCTGTGATACTTTGGTAATGCCACAGGGCAGCAATTAAAATCATGAGCATTAATTAAGATTTAAAACTACATTAACCACTTAAGGACGTTATTTCCATGACCTCCCATTGAACACAACCACAAGGACTGCATGCTATTTCTATCACAGCCTTTGAAGTAAAAGGCTGAGTATTAAACCAGATCCTGCCTCTGTTCTTGCACACATGCACACTGCGAGCTCATTTTTAATCTAATTCAAAATCAAAATTCCAGTTCTATGGCATAACAGCAGCTTCATGGTAGCACAATGGTGTTTAAACATACAATTTGGTCTTTCTTTGAGGGAAAATGGAGGTGAAGTTCTGGCTCCAAAATTACGTATCAGCAGATGCAGATACTACCTGGATAAAACCACTTCCCTCTTTTTATATGTTTATAAAGTTTGCCCTGGAACCAAATTATCACTGAAAAGTTGCCTAAAATGAGCTGAAAACCACACATTAATGTCTGTTTCTAAAGTGGTCTTTTCTGTCAGAGGAATTCAGTGTTGCCTGAGAAGTCAAGCCATCTTTCTGGACTGAATTCCCACTTTCTGAGACCTGCCTCAAGCTGCCGCTGCCTGTCATGAGCCACCTCTGCAGCTCCCTCCTCAGCAAGGTTTCCTAAGGTCTAGACTAATTATTAATGCTCAAGGCAGGAGAAAATTGACATCTGTTTTCCACACCTCCCTCACATTGTGCAGCAGCAGGAGTAATTAAAGCAGGGGATTTCATTAGCAAAGTGTTATTTGTTGTTTCTATAGGAACACAGGTGTGCCCAGACTTTTACAGGAGGAAAATATAAAGCAAGGGTGAATTCCAGTGAGGCACCTCAGCATCCCTGCACTGGGTGTTGCAAGGGCAGCAGCCAGAGGGACACAGGCGTGGCAGGGGCCTCAGAGGAGCTGCAAGAGGTGTTGGTGGTCCCTGCACCACCCATGGGGACAACAGGGTCCCTAAGAGGTGACCTGGAACGGGGTGTGGCCATGCAAGCTGCGTCTGTCCCGACCCTTCTCAGGCATCTGATCTTGAGTGATTCAACCCTGTCTTTATCCAGCCCTGGGACATGAATTCCCTCAGGGAGAGTCCCCGGGTTGCTCTGGGCTCTCTCCTCAAGGCTGTGGGAGTGGAGGGAGTGCAGTCTGCAGGACCGTGGAGGTGCTGGGGCTGGAAGCATCTCGAGTTGGGAGGGTCGGGAATTGTGCTGCCACTGACCCATGGATCACTCATGATGCTTCAGGAGCCTTTCTCCTGACCCCACTGATGAGCTCACTGATCATTAGCATTAAACTTCAAACCAGAACCGTGTCTCCTCCAGCTGGTGGACGCTGGGGGTGCTTGGGGCAACCAATGCCCCACGAGGGTCACGGGGATCTGCTCTGAGGGGGCTGGGGGGACACAGCCCACGGCGCTGGGCAGAGCTGCAGGGCAGGGGCATGGGGGGGCCTCAAAACCATGGAGCCCTTCCAACCTGGCTGCAGGGCAGATGATGAACTGCAGGCATCATTCCAGTGTTTGGAGAAAAATAAAGAATTCTCTCTTATCTCCTCCTAAATTCCACACAGATTTCTGGGGAAGGGTCATAAAGCTGTGTGGCCAGCTCTGCTTTCACTCTTGCTTAGTTGCATTGCTCTGATTCATTTCATTGAGTTAGAAGTTGGATTTATGAAGTAATAAATGTGTCAGAATGCAGCCAAGAATGTGTCTGAACTGGCTTTCCAGGAACGCTGGGCCGGCTGACGGCAGTGGGAACTGCTGTGTCAGGAGCAGCCACCGGCAGCCGGGGAGTGCTACAAGAACTCCCAGAAGAATTTTAATCCTTTTGCTTGCACAGACCATACCCTCCTCTTCCCATCACTGTTTTCCTCACCCTTCAGTGGCGCCTCTGGAAGCAGGAACAGAACTGAGCTGAGTTTGCCTGTCTTGAGGGACAGCAGCCGGTGGATCCCTGTCCTGCCTGCAGCTTCAGACAGTTTCACCCCAACGCTTGGGATCCAGAATGGGGAGCAGCTGCTGGGGCAGAGCTGGGGTGTGGTGTTTGCAGGGTCCTGTCTGCATCACTTGGGCTTTGTCACTTGCTTGGGCTCACTGGGTTAAAGTTTCAGTGCTGCTGTTGCTGGGCATTGCAGCGGGGGAGCAGCACTTTGTCCAACCTGTGAAACTTGGGGATTCTCACAGGCTTCACCTCCCACCACCTGTGGGATCAGCTACTTTCTAGACTGCCCCCCACACCCTCTCCCCTGGAGCCACCAGGTCTCAGGAGTTACAGAGGTGTGGGTGTACAGGCCCCACCATCGGGGTACCAAGGATGGAGAATGTTTTCCTTGCAGGGAGGAGCTTTGTCCCACAGGGGTGAGACAGACCAAGAGCATCAAGACCAGACCTTGGTTTGCAGGACTGCAAAGAGAAGCTTTATTTGATTTCTGTGTGTGGCATGGAGCTGAGAGAAGGGTGAGAGAGGGGAAGGAAGGGGGTGATAGTGGGAGAAGGTGCTTTTGATGATCCATATGGCAAGAACACATCAGCTGGGATCTGCTTTGCTGTGCTGGGCGAGGCTTGCAGCAGAACAGGCAGTGCCTCAGTGGGCAGCCTGTGTGATCTGCTCCCGGGAGGAGATCACCTTCCCATCCTGGACTTCCTCGAAGATGGTGCGGATCTGGCGGGTGGTTACTGGTCCTGCAATGGGGAAAGAAGGAACTGTCATTTCCAGGGCAGCAGGGAGGAAGAGTCTTAAGGATCTTTGTCTTAGAGATTTGTTGCTATAATCATCACATTAGAAACTCAATATAGCACCACATTCCCACTGCTAAATTGTACAGACTCAGTCTGTTCAGATCATTTCTGACACATGTTTTGGTATATCGTAATATTTTTTATATAAATTTGTTATATTGTAAAATTTTGTATATCAGTTCAAATTTGGGAAATATAATAAAGTAGCAACTTTAGTAGAAAAGTAAAAGGAGTGTGTGCTAAGGTGGGTGAGGGTATGAGAGCTGTATATGACCAGAGCTTCGGCCAAGACC